CAACTTCTCAGTGATGGAGAAAATGCCAGCGCTGAGTCCAGTGGGCATGGTGACTGTCATTGATGGAGACAAGGGGGAGAATGCCCAGGTACAGCTCTCAGTAGAGCAGGACAATGGTGACTTTGTTATCCAGAATGGTACAGGCACCATCTTATCCAGCTTGAGCTTTGACAGGGAGCAACAGAGCACCTATACCTTCCAACTGAAGGCTGTAGATGGTGGTGTTCCACCTCGCTCAGCGTATGTCGGTGTCACCATCAATGTGTTGGATGAGAATGACAATGCACCCTTTATCACTGCCCCTTCCAACACGTCTCACCGACTGTTGACCCCGCAGACACGTCTTGGTGAGACAGTCAGTCAGGTGACAGCGGAGGACATTGACTCTGGTGTCAATGCTGAGCTGACCTATAGCATTGCTGGTGGCAACCCTTATGGACTCTTCCAGATTGGATCACATTCAGGTGCCATCACCCTGGAGAAGGAGATTGAACGGCGCCACCATGGGTTACACCGCCTAGTGGTGAAGGTCAGTGACCGAGGCAAGCCCCCACGCTATGGCACAGCCTTGGTCCACCTTTATGTCAATGAGACCTTAGCCAACCGCACCCTGCTAGAGACCCTCCTTGTCCATAGCTTGGACACACCATTGGATATTGACATTGCTGGGGATCCAGAATATGAGCGTTCCAAGCAGCGTGGCAACATCCTCTTTGGTGTCGTAGCCGGTGTGGTGGCCGTGGCCTTACTCATCGCCTTGGCAGTGCTCGTGCGCTACTGCCGACAGCGGGAGGCCAAGAGTGGCTATCAGGCTGGCAAGAAGGAGACGAAGGACCTGTATGCCCCCAAGCCCAGCGGCAAAGCTGCTAAGGGAAACAAGAGCAAGGGGAAGAAGAGCAAGTCCCCGAAGCCTGTGAAGCCAGTGGAGGACGAGGATGAGGCAGGGCTGCAGAAGTCCCTCAAGTTCAACCTAATGAGCGATGCCCCTGGGGACAGTCCCCGGATCCACCTGCCCCTCAACTATCCACCAGGCAGCCCCGACTTAGGCCGCCATTACCGATCCAACTCCCCACTGCCTTCCATCCAGCTGCAACCCCAGTCACCCTCGGCCTCCAAGAAGCACCAGGTGGTGCAGGACCTGCCGCCTGCAAACACATTTGTGGGCACCGGGGACACCACGTCCACGGGCTCTGAGCAGTACTCCGACTACAGCTATCGCACCAACCCCCCCAAATACCCCAGCAAGCAGGTAGGCCAGCCCTTTCGGCTTAGCACACCCCAGCCTCCACCCCACCCCTACCATGGGGCCATCTGGACCGAGGTGTGGGAGTGATAGAGCAAGTGTGTCTTGCCTGCCATGAACAATTACTTCATGTGGGAGCATCCTGAGCTAGCTGTGGGAGGTGGGGGACACTGATCGGGGGGTACTGAGGCCTCACTAAGAACCCTGCTGCCTTAGCCAGATACGAAGGGTTAAGCTGAGTGGAAACTGATAGCGGCTCTGTAGTGTCTTCCCTGCTCCTCCCCACAAGGTAGAAGTCTGTGACTTGTCAGATCCCAGGATGCTGAACTAGCTGCTAGGTCTTTCAGGTGGAACTGATGGGCTGGTGAAAGGTTTGGAGACAGAAGGGAGCAGGGAGGAGACAATTCCAAACCTGGGTCTCTCAGAGATCAGCTATACAGGTGCTCCTTTGGAGGGGACACAGAAGACCTAGAATCTGGGTGGGAATTCTGCTGGGGAGGGGGGACCTCCCCACTCGTGCCTTCTTTATGTACTGTGTATTAACTTCTTCCTCATTCCCAGGCCCTGGGGCTGGCCCCGCATCCCCTACCCCAGCCTTATCCGTGTGGCCCTGACAATAAAGTTCTCTATTTTTGGAGTTTTGGTTTCTTATTTACCTGAACTGAGAGAAGCAGTGAGAGAGACTGGAAGCAGCTTTGTTCTCAAACCCTGCCTCAATTTCTCCATGCCTACCCTTTATTCCTCCCTACTCCCTAAGCCTGCCTACTTTACTCCAGTCCTATCTTAGTATATCATCTCCTGCCCACCCCCACACCTATTTCCATGTCTGGAGAAAGTTCCAGTCTTCAAATGAAGGAGTATGGTAGCATGCTCCCTCACCCCATGTCTGTGAGGCCTTCTCCTCGCATGAGATGCTTCACCAAGAAAGGGTAGGAGTAGAGGCTCTGCCTCCTAGTCCAAGACAGTTTTTCCCCATCTGCCTAAATGGAGTAGTTTTTGAGAGACCTGAAACCAGAGCACCTGTGTGGGGTGGCAGCCAGCCTTTCTGCCTCAGGTGAAGCCAGAGAACCTTTTGATTACACCATCCACCTTCCCTCAGGGCAAGCTCTTCCCCCAAGTCCCTTTCCCAGCGTCTACATCACACTCAGCAATTAGCTGGCCCTGGCCTGCATCTCCCTATGATCACCACCCTGGGCTCCAGAGAGGGAGGGCCCTGAGAGAGGGGCTTCTCCAATGCTTCAGAGACCCACTTTACACCCTCATGCTTAGGTAGCCATTGTCATAGGATGAGGTGTCCCAATTCTGCCCTCTGCCCAAGGCCACCTCCCTCCCCTTCCTTCAGCTCCTTCCTCTAGCCAGGACTACCGGCTAGCTTTCCCCCTCTCTCTCCCTCCGTCTCTCACTTCTTGCTCTCCTGGGTCTGCCCTATCTCTGGTTGTGCCTGAGGAAAGTTAAGGTGTGGGTGAGGAGCCTCTGATCCTGGGGGAGTCTCTGAGGCCAGAGGCAACCTATCTCCATGGTGACCAAAGAGACTTGGGACACTCCCAGGAGGTCCAAGGCGCCAGCTCTCTTCTTGATTCCATCTATAAACTCAACAAAGCCCTATGGTACCCCCAAAGTGAAAAACATCTGAGTTTTGTAGGAGTTTTGTATGGGGGGGGGTCATATCTAGTTACAACTTCTTTCTCCTGAGAAGTCAGCTGTCAGGTGAAACTCCTGGCCTCATACTCTTTCTCTTCCATTTCTGCCTTGCAACCATTGCTTCTTCCATTCCTTTAGTCCATTGATTCCTTTTTCCCCCTCAGTTTCTGAGGGATTGTTCCTCACTGGGCTCCAACCCAGCCAACCCATCCATGGAACCACACTGAATACCTCCTCCCAACATTTGAGTATAACCAAAGCTTTCAATAACCATTGTCATCATCAGAGCACATAGGCCAAGTTCCTACTGCATGCTCAGTGTGGTACTCGACTTTGATTTTTTAAAAAATGGTGATAAGTGAAATGAATCCCAAGTGTCAAGTGAGGGGCTATAGGAAGCTTTTCTTTATGTGTACTGTAAAACTATTTTAACTTTCTTTTTGAGACAGGGTCTCACTATGTAGCTTTGAATGGCCTGGAGCTTGCTAGGTAGATCTGGCTGGCCTTGAACTCAAAGAGATCCACTGCCTCTGCCTTCCTAGTGCTGGAATTAACTCATGTACCACCACATCCGAGTCCATGAAACTTTTATTACTGCTGTTCTTTACCATTTGGGGAGGCCTTGCTAGGTTCAAGGTACCATAGGTGAATTCACTCAATGCTCATAACTTTGTGACACAGGCCACTTCATTATAGTCATTTCACATAAGTGAAAACTAGCAGTTGATGGAGTCAGAATTTAAGCACAAAGCAACAGGGAATCTGATTTCCAGAGTCTGCCATTATCTACTATACAATTAAGAGAGGATTCCATGATTAAGTTAGTGAGAGACTAGTTATCACATCCTATAAAAAGTTCTGCAAAGCCCTGTAACAAAGGGTGAACTTGTTAAACTTGTATAACTGAGTTTTCCACATTTGTTTGACTGTAGTGCCTCCTCCTACTTTTAGGACATAATATGGGGGAAACAGGAATGGGCTTCTGGGAAGAGACTAGGAACCCAGAGCCAGCTTGTCGGTGATGGGTGAGATTTGGGCAGAAGGGCCTCCTTGCCTAGGGTCACTGTGAGCAACTTTTGAAGCAGTGGTAAGCATGACCAAGTTGGAAGCCGGAAGATGGCAGACAGGGAGCATTCTGGTTGGAGTGGGGGTATAGAGGAGAGTAAAAGTGAGCTTGGAAGAACTGTATATACATTGTAGAGGACAGGATGCCTTGCTAAATATCCCCCAAGAAGAAATGTCCCTTATATCTCAGTTTTCCAGTTGAACTGAACTTGCTTTGCCTAGCCTGTGTAAAGTCCTAGCTCAATCCCAGTTTGTGCTGGGCGGTGGTGGGAGGGAGGGAGAGAGGCACTAAGGTTTGGACTAAGGATGGCAGTGAGGATGATAGGTAGATTGATTTGGCTGAATTTAGGGAGAAAGAGCCAAGGATATTCAAGATCTTAATTGATAGGGTATAGGGGTGGGGATGAGGGAGAAACTCCCAGGATTCTCAGGTGGATATCAGCTTTCTGAGTGTGGGTGATGGGTTAGTGATGAGCTCACTGCCTATGTGAAAGACGATCAATGAGAAATAATTTGATTTCAGACATGTTGGATCTGGAGGGTCAGTATGGGTAGTCCTACTCAGCAAGTACTCAGGATGGGAGACTGAGTGATTTGAAACCTGGTCTTTTAAGATTTGATAGAACTGCAGAAGCAGTTAAGGTTAAATATAACCACCAAGTATTTCACTGATGGGGGAAAGCCCAAGGGACTTGCCTTCATGCGGAACTGAAGCCCCTGATTACCAGGTTCTTCAGGGAAGAAGGGCTGATGACCAGTCTTGACAGAAAACAAGAAGCTCCAATAACCAGGCTGCTCTGTGCCTTTGAGGACCGTCCTGGAGCCTGTTTGTTCCACTGCCAGGTGGACCTTGCTCCTTTATAACCTCTTAGTCCCAAAGGTGCAGGTCAGTTCTGGGGACCTTGTTTCATCACCCAAACATCATTGTTTGGGATTGAATGGGCTCCTGACACCATGGGAAGGCAGCAGTGGGCTGTCCTCTAACCAGTACCAAAGCTCCTTATCCTGATACAACTATCTTTGTCCTCAGACACTAATAGGAGGTTGCAGAAAGGTGGGGTGTGGGCTTACAAACCTAAGACCACCTCTCTTGGCTGTTTCCTCGACCTTTTATGAAAGGGCCACAGAGCTGAGACAAGGTGCTTCTGTCTGTTGATTCAACAACAGGACCTGGACCTTGCTGCTCCTCTGGCCTCTGGGGACCCAGAATCTTTGCCCTCCACAACTCCTAATTTCTGGTTGGCAGGAAAACCAGTGGAGGTCAGAGGTGGGTGGCTTGATGGTTGTGCCAAGTGCCAGGCTGAGGTTGCCAGGTTCCTGGTCTGATCATTAACCCGTGGCAGGCAGATGGGATTGCTGGCAGGGAACAGCCTGTCACTGTTCCATTACCCAATGCCAGTACCCAGTCTAAACTCAAGTCTGGCTCCACCAAGCAGGAGGTCCCTCCTAGAGCTCCTTTCTGTGTCCTACAGGGGACTCCATAGAGAAGAGCCTTCCTGATATTTGGCGGGTTTCACGTGCTCTATCACAATGGGCCTTGCTCTCTACAGCTCCTTCCCTGACATGGAACACTGGGGTTTCCATTTATGTTCTCTCTGACACCACATGTATGATTTCTTATCAAGTTCCCTCTCCTCCCTCCGTCCGATCCCACACTCAGGCTCTATGAAGGGATTTGTAGAGGGCTGGGGCCTGAGTAGGAGGAACTCTTGGAGGCCTCAGAACTGCAAACTTGGTCTGAGGAGCAAGATGCAAGAGGTTGGTGCCCTTTGGATGGAGGCAATGGGAAGTTGCAGAGCAGTGAGACAGGAGAGGATCTCAAGCCTAGAAGGTACAGTTAGACTAATAGGGGATGGCTTTGTGTGGAAGAGCTTTCAGGAAGCTATTTCAGAAGCTTGGGGCTGTGCTGCTGGTGTTTAGAGGCCAGGCTGGCATCTGAAGTTGGCTGACACTGTGCTGTTCTGCTCCTGGGCTCTACTCTATACTATAGCTCATTCTGTTCTGAAAGGCCAGGGATGCCATGCCTATGTCAGGAAGCTGTGCTGACATAGTGCTGTGCTGGCTAGGGTTGTCATGGAAGTCTGGGGCTGTAACAAGAGTGGGGCCTACACTGTGTTGGGACTTTCAGTATGTGGACTTAGCTATACTGGAAGCTAGCCTCAAATTAAGAGGCATCTCTACTAGAGTCTATGCTTTCTGGGGCCTATGCTGTACTAAGGGGCTGGGCCTCTTCTTGGCTGTTGCTGAGGCCTGGAAGGATCTTATTGTGTTTGGGGGCTGGTGTGGTGCTTGGCTCTATGGAGGAGGCTAGCCAGCCAAGAGCAACACTCTCTCTCCCTACAGTTACCTCACCGCCGTGTCACCTTCTCGGCCACCAGTCAGGCCCAGGAGCTGCAGGACCCATCACAGCACAGTTATTATGATAGTGGCCTGGAAGAGTCTGAAACACCATCTAGCAAGTCATCCTCAGGTCCCCGACTTGGTCCCCTGGCCCTACCTGAGGACCACTATGAGCGCACCACCCCTGATGGCAGCATAGGTGAAATGGAGCACCCTGAGAACGGTGAGGAACGTCAGCCTGTCTGAGGCTTCCTAGGAATGAGTTCAGGAAGAGTGGTGATGCTTTAAAATGGTCCTCTGTGTCTTAAGGTCTGTTTGTGTGTTCTGTAGTAAGCACTGTGCTTCAAGATATATCTACTCATTGATTCCTCACACTCTCTGACCTGAGAAATACCCACTTTACAGTGGGGAAAACTGAGACTCAGACAGGTCCTGTGACTTGCCCAAAATTACACATCTGGAAAGTGACAGACCTGGAAGGGATTCATATCTATGTCTTTGGGTTCAGCATTGCCTTACATAGACATCCTGGGGACAGGGACCCCTGAGAATGGTGGCCAAGAGGTTCAGGTAATGGTGAGGAAACTGGAAGGAGGATGGTGGTCCCCAAATAAGAGGATTTGAGATGAGAGCATGATACTCCCAGATGCTATGAAAGAACTCAGAGAAGTGTGGCATCTCCCCCGTTTCCCCCAGCAGAAGAGAGGGACAAGGTTTGGCTAAGGAAGAGCTGGGAGGAAGTCTGGAAGGGGTGGTCCTCTCTAGGAGGAGTTCTTGGGGGGGGGGCAGCTGGAGCAAAGGTGAGTGTGGAAATGGATGGTGAGGTGTATTGTGAGAGTATGCCCGTGCTGCACACGTGTGTGTCCACAGGAGTGTGTGTGAGAAGGCATCCATGGCAGCCTGTGGAAGAGAATCTGAATAATCCAGCCCTTGGGATAGAAAGACTCTGACTTAGAGCTGTCCTCGGCTCTCACACCTCCCTTAGTCCGAAGTCTCCCTACTCCCCAAAGATGAAAAGTGCCAGTCTTCACCCTGAGTCATCCGGCCCTGTCTAACCTCCCGGGCCCTGGGCCCAGAGCACCCTCTGACCCTCCCCTGCCACTCCATGCCTGATCTCTCATGCCAGTCTCGTCCTTTTTGTGCCCGCCCACGCAGAGCCG